CCTTCACACTCTGGATGCTTATCTGACTATTATCCAAACTGATCTGAACTCATGAGGTTGCCTTCAGTCTCTGTGGCTCATAGTTCCCCCTCACTGCAGGGCCCTAAAGCCTGGACCACAGCTCGAGCCTGGAAGTCTACACCACAATGAAACTGCCCCGCAGCCGCGAGAGAGCCTGAGTTGACTGGCATGGGCCAGCTGTGGGTTTTTCTTTGCTGTATCAACATACCCTACATTAGTCCTCTTCCTTTTCTCCAAGTACACTCAGCTCTCTTTGGATGGGTTTGGTGATACCCCTGCTTTCTAGAGCTCTTAATATGGAGATACCTATCACATAGAACTGGAAGGGACCTTGAAAGGTCATCAGATCCAGTCCCCTGCCTTCACAACAGGACCAAGTACTGTCCCTGACAGATTTTTTTTCCTCCCCCAGATCCCTAAATGGCCCCCTCAAGGATTGAGCTCACAACCCTGGGTTTAGCAGGCCAATGCTCAAACCACTGAGCTATCCCTCCCTCCCTCTTCTTCCCATGTGAAGTGAAATTGAGCTTCAAAGTCACATTAATGGTCACCTCATTTCCCCTTGTAGTGACCCATAATTGTAGCTGGGAGTGGCACGTACCCAGAAGGGTACTTTGTGGTTCTTCTTTTGTGGCACTAACAAGATAAATTCCTGTTGTTCTCTTCAAATCATGTATGACTCTCAAAGTTCAGGTATACTCTCCATAGGGAAAAAATGAAGTCTCCAGTGAAATTAGAACACAAGACAGCAAACAGATCAGATCCACTCATTGTGCGACTCAGAAGAGGAGTTATCCCAGCAGATGGCTGGAAGAATTCTACAGTCCATACAGAGCTTGCTATGGCACTTTGCCTCATCTTCTGTGGGGGCCTGCCTAGGACTTTGTATCAAAAGGCTTCATACGAAGAGATGTTTGAAGATAATGTTTAGGAAGCTGTAATTTTCCTGCTTTTTGTCAATGGCCAGAATTGTTTCTGGGAAACACAGAAATCTTGCTATGGCTACAAACCGGAGAGCATCAGTTCACTTCTTAACACCCACGGGGGATATTTTAATGGCCAAGCTTTACAAAGGGGCCTGAAATGCTGGAGGAGAAAAACTGTTTCTTTAAATACTTCAGCTGATTGACGTGTTTCTGCATCAAGGTGAAGTCACTTGTGTTTCTCTCTCTCTGCAGCTGTTGACCTGCTGGTGAATCAGAGCCCTGCCTGTGTCAAGGAAGAGGAAGGGAAAGCGCTGACCATAGAATGTAGATTCAGGGCCCTGGAGAAACCCAGCACCAAGTACTCTGTTAAATGGTATAAAAACGGGACTGATGGAGACGAGAAGCAGCTGAAAAATGAAACAGGCTCAGTCACAACAACTCTAGATTTCTCAACGGGCCTGGCTTCTCTCACCTTGACTAAAGCTAGCGTGAGTGATTCTGGGTTCTACAGATGTGACTTCGGTAAAAATGGCCGTGGGAATGGAACCAGAGTGACGATCCAGGGTAACCAGCAGCATTATCTTCTCTGATCTGCATTGTCAGGATAGTACACTGTGGTCACCACTGACTCACACTTCCCACATGGTCACTGAAACCCCACAGCTACTTCCTAGCCTAGGACAGGGAGACGCAGTGTTATCTCAGAGATAGGCGGTGTGTAAATTATGGAGTGTTGTTGTAGCCGTGTGGGTCCCTGGATATTAGAGAGACAAGGTGGGTGAGTGTGTGTACCAGGCCCCATTAAAGGAGCAGCGAAGGTGGGTCCTCCAGACCTGCCTAGAAAGGCTGCAGGGTAGCAGCCAATCAGAGCACAGCAAGCTCAGTTAAAAGGAACTGCTGGGCCTGAGCAGGTCAGTTCCTGGCAGGGACCAGAGGAGTAAGGAAGGGTGCTCCTTGACAAAGCTCAAGGGAGAACCAGAAGGTGGATTCTGGTGGCATTGGCATGGAAAAAGAGGAGTTAAGAACTTCAGCCCTGAGATGAGGGTGAAGAGGAAGGGACTACATGGGAAGCAGCCCAGGGAACAACAGCAGCAACTATGACAGGAAGCAGCACGTGGCTGTTATTTGTAGAGTCCCTGGCTTGGGACCCGGAGTAGTGGGTGGGCCTGGGTCAGGGTGGCCAAAGCCCTGAGAAGGGGAGACGTTTATTTAGATGCCCAAGCACAGGGCTGGAATTTAAAGGGCTGAGGACCCCTCAGAGGGCCATTTGCTGGACTTTGTTACCCCAGAAGGGGACTGAACTTGCAGGCGTGACCTAGCTGGAGAGCTGGGGCAATAAGAACTGATAAGGCAAAGAGTCTCCAGGGAGAGTCCTGGGGGCACCGCTCTATACCAGAGCAGGCGCTCCTAGTTCCAGCCCCTATCCTGTGCCAATGAGCAGGACTCTTCTCTATCCCCTGCTTCCCCATCATTGATTTGACTCCAATTAGCAGGGCTGGATTGCCCAAGAGTATTGACTCGTCATATGTCAATGGACGACATTTTAGTCTGGCTGCTAGATTCTTTGGGTAGTGTCAATTTCCAGTGAATCTCTGTGATACATGGACCTTAAACACCACAGTAGTGCAGGGGGTTCCTGTTCTATGTGGATCCATAATGGGGCATTATGAGCTATGTCTACATACCACTTAAGAGGAAGAATGTATTACAATGCCTAATACAAACCTTCCTGCAAGCAAAGAAGGAATTGTTTTTCCATGGATATCAGACCTCCATGTTTAAACGTGAGGTCTAATTTTTTTTTTTTTAAAGTAAAGAGCATGAACAAGAAACATGGGGCCAGAGGGACACTGGCAGATCTTCCCCTTGGTTCTGATCTCTTGATGCTGTAGGAAGCAAGGGGTCAGGATTTCTTTTGATCACATGAGTCAGTAGCTGAGAGAAGCTTCCCTCTGCCCCCAAATCAAAACAAAACTTAGATCCACAACCAGAACTGGGAAGAATTTCCAGCGTAGTGCAGTTTGTTTTGGATGATGGTGAGTAAATTGGGTTGAAATAGCAGAACCAGAGCATTCGAGAACATTTCAATGAATGTCCTACACCGGCAAGCCCTGCTTGCAAATAGTGTCCTTCACATCAGATCCATGAGCCAAATCCTCAGCTGATACCAAGGGAGTGATGCTGATTTACACCAGTAAAGGCTCTAGTTCTGGAACTTCACAACTGGGATAGGAAGAAACCCTGACTGCAGCTGTCACAGCGAGTTTCTTAAAATTACTCCCACCCCAGGTACGAGGGCTGTAGCAAGAACTCCTCCCAAGCCTCTGAGTGTGAAAAAAAGAACCTATTTTCTATGAAAGACCTGTAATTCTAGCCAGACCGAAACACAAGGCACCCAAGAATCTCCACATGCTTCTTGAGTAAAGAGGAACCGAAAGCAAACAAATGAGAACAAATTACTGGCAGAGCCCTGCAGAAACACCCTCCACCCACAGTAGCAATCTTGCTTCCTCCCATTGGAGATCTTGCCCAGTCATCTTTATCCATGACATTCTGTGTATGTATATAATCACACACTCACGTCAACAGAAATGTTCCTGCACCAAGGTACAGTCACTTGTGCTTCTCTCTCTGCAGCTGTTGACCTGCTGGTGAATCAGACGCCTGCCGTAATGAATGGATTGGAAGGAGACACGCTCACTATAGAGTGTAGATTCAAGGTGGTGAAAGATTCCAGCACCACGTACAGTGTTACGTGGTATAAGAAGGGGGCTGATGGACACGAGAAAGAGCTGAAGAACGGAACAGGCCTTGTCACAACAGCTCTAGATTCCTCGAAGGGCCTGGCCTCTCTCACCTTGATCAAAATCAATAGGAACGACTCCGGGCTCTACAGATGTGACTTTGGTATAAATGGTGGTGGAAATGGAACCAGAGTGACCATCCATGGTAAATAGCAGCATTGTGTTCTCAGATCTTCACTGTATTTCCTAGGGAAGAATAAGGACTAGGAAAGGAAGAGCTAATGCTAATACTTTGCATGGGGTGATATTGATGGAACAGGAGTTGCTGGCAAACAGAAGGAGAAGGCAAAGCTATGGAGAGATTTGCAGTGAGAAGTCAGTGATTCCCGGTGGCTTTCCAGATCCTGCCCATCTTTTTTTTGTTTTGTCATCCAAGTACTTGCAACCCCCTCCCCCCCTTCCTGATGTCCCTTGCACAGCAGCACAGCATTGCTGCCCACCAGAATTCTCGGAGCCACTGGGTGATGGGTGAATCACAAAGGGTTCGGAGAAGCACCTCCAGGTTCAGAAGCTCTTCTCGCCCGTATTGAACAGTCAGTTTGACCATGACAGGCTTTTTTCGTAAGAAGATTTCCAGTATTTCCCAATTTTGAGTGGGATGGAAATGTCTCTCGGTATATTGCTGATTCTGCTTTCAGTCTTGGACTGAAACAAGAAGTGTCTAGAGGACAGCCCTAGAAACCCACTCACGGCAGCACCACTATTGTAAGCTGCAGTGTTTTGGACCATAACTGTAGAATACTGTCTTTTTTTAAAAAGAGGGAAATCTTGTTGAACCTCAGCACAGGTTCCAGTTTGATTCTGGGTGAGGGTGTAAGCTAGTCCTTACTTTATCCTAAAAGATTAGCCCATTGCAAATACCATCTTCTGACAAATGAATCCACCAGGTTGGTGTCATTCTTCCCATAGTGGTGGAGCAGCGACCCAGTTTGCCTTCTCTCCTTCAGCTACTCTGCCGCGGGACTCCTCGGGTGGTGGTGGTGGTGGTCTAGTGACCTAGCTCACAGCATCTTCCCCTGCCCCTATCCAGCAGGACTCCTGTAGAGGTGGTAATGCATGACCCAACCTATGTTGTCTTTCCCTAGAACTAGAGGTGATGGGAGTGTAATAACTCAACTTCCCCTGCCTCTGTAGCCCCATCTAGTAAGACAGCAGCTAATTAATGTTTCTTTCAACAGCACATGACCAAAGGCCAATGAGCTCTTACATTGTTCCTGGGGCTGCGGCTGGGACACTTCTCTTCTTGCTAGTGCTCGGTATCCTTTTGTGGAGATGGAGACAGTGCTCCAAAGGTAAGATTTACTTGGACAATAAATGTAAGCAATTTCTGTATGAGCGGAGCTCATAGGATGCCGATAGATTCTTCTTCGTGTCCTTCCTTTAGCCGAAGGAAGAGTAATTTGGGTAATTTTTGCCAGTGAATGTACAGCAGCGGTGGTGAACTGGCAGCCCTAGTCAGTGAAGTCTCATATCTAAGCACATATACCGCCTGGGCAATGGTAGGACTATTCTATGTCTCCTCCCTGACCTGAGGAAGCACCTCAAGGTGTGAAAGGTGGATTCAGTCTCCACATCTATTCCATCTTTGGCTGGATTGCCACCAAAGCCACCAATTATTGGCAATTGCTCGGGTGAGAACGTGTGGGATGTAGATACTGCTCCACTATGAACTAACTAGACTGACAACTAACTCCTTCATTTAGGTGACCCAAAGGTCAGAGAATAACCAGCTTAGCCACAACTTCATTTTTTTTCCAGAACCACTTCAAAGCAGGTCAGAGGCAGAGATGAATCAGATGGAGACGGTGAGTTGGAGAGCTTATCATAAGAGCCTCATTTAATTTTTCTCTCTAGCATAAGGTAACTGGATGTTGAGCATCAACTCCAGGAATACAAGGTAATAAAGAAATCGGTTCTCCTTTTACAGACTGCAGCTCCAAGAACTTCAGGGTAACAGAAAATGCAGCACTAGTCCTGAATAGGATCAGGAGTGGTACTACATTTAAAAAGTTAGAGGGGATCAAGAATTAATTAGCCTTAGAGCAACGATAAAGAGGACATAAATTAGCAATTGCACAGGATCTACAGTGATAATAGAGAATGCAGCATTAGTTCTAGGCAGTGGGACTGGGAAACCTCAAAATACTGGAGAATGCAGCATTTGTTCCATGAACTGTAGAGGTGTTTCAAATGAGAATACAGCTTCCTAAAAAGTCAGCACACTCTTTTACAGTGCCTGTGTCAGTGGAAGATGGTCTAGCATTATAATAGAATGATATGGGCATCACTAACCATTTACTTTAGACCAGGGGTTGGCAACCTTTCAGAGGTGGGGTGCCGAGTCTTCATTTATCCACTCTAATTTAAGGTTTTGCGTGTCAGTAATACAATTTAATGTTTTTAGAAGGTCTCTTTCTCTACGTCTATAATATATAACTAAACTATTGTTGTATGTAAAGTAAATAAGGTTTTTAAAATGTTTAAGAAGCTTCATTTAAAATTAAATTAAAATGCACAGGCCCCCAGACCAGTAGCCAGGACCCAGGCAGTGTGAGTGCCACTGAAAATCAGCTCGCATGCTGCCTTCGGCACGCGTGCCATAGGTTGCCTACCCCTGCTTTAGACCTTGCAAAGCAGAAAGGAACGAGCAGTCTTCACTCATTTTCCTCTTGCTTTGCAGTCTTCTCCTCCACCAGCTGATGAGGTGACTTACGTTGACTTGAACTTCCACAAAAGGGATGCAAAAGCGGAGGAAGAGGTTGTTTACACAGAAGTGAAGATACGGCCAAAACAGAGAGATGACAATGACATCTACGCAAAAGTCAAACCTCGTCATTGCTAGGGGAAGAGCTAGTGGGAATTAACGGAGGGGTAACCAGCATTTCACATGTCCATTAAATGCAAGTCTCCATGGAACAACGAATTAGCTCTTAGTAAAAGATGTCCTTGGAGATCAAAGTCCTCTAGTTATGAACAGAGCAGGTAGCAGTGCAAGATTCCCTCGTTTCCTGCTCCACCCTTATGCCTCAACTCTGATCTGGAGAGACCAATTCTGTGGGCAAACGGAGAGTTCTGCTAACCCATCTACTCTTGGTCTATGTGCTGCAATTGCAGCCAGAAAACGGGTTGTGCTGTGGACAGTGTTTCACTAGGAACTGAGTCGAGACCAGAAATTCATTTAACAAACTCACCAGCCATCAGATTATAGCAAGTTTTAGTTGCTATTTACCAGCACTGTATTTGAACAAGTGACCGAGAGCCAAGCCCTTGAGCCACCCAAGTATGGAAAATGTTGCCATCTTGTTGTGGGAAGCACTGTCCTCCACTGAAGATGCCAACTGTGCTGAATGAGGACGGAAAAGCCTCCCAAGAGCCATGCTCCCTACAATGGAGGATGTACAATAATGGTGATAAGGCTCAAGAGCAATGTCCCATACTTTCATGAATGAAACCGACATGATTGTTTAATCTTTCTAAGCACAAAGTAGGCTTCTCTGTTGGGAGTGAATGCAGCTTCCCTGGATTCCACACACTTAAGAGCCAAACAACAACAATATGAATTGCTTCTCTAGCAGATTTTAAATATTAACTAAAGCTTTTACAGCAAATTTAGGCCAGAATTAAGTGTGTGCAAATGCACTGATTTAAATGGAGTTGTACCTACTTACACCAGGAATGGATTTGTCCCCTTGTGTCTGCATGGCTTTACTGTAAATTTAAAAAGGAAATGTGTAATTTAAAAAAAAAAAACATGCCATCTTTTGTAGTGGTTTAATTAGATTGCGCTTTTGAAAATATCCCCAATAATTTTCGATAAACCGAAAGGGGCTGTTGTGCTCCCAAAAATGGAGAGACCCCAAAAAAAAATCAACAGGAGTGCCTTTGAAAGTCTCCCCATAATGTACTGATTTTTATGACTACTGCAGATGCATGAGATATAACTTGTGCAAATCACAACTCATGGATGCCATAAGGAGACAACCAGAAGAAACAGCACAGCAAGCATGTGAACACCTGCAAAATGTTCTGCTTATTATTAATACCTGCATCAATTCATTATTAACTAATACATGGCATCACCAGTTTTCAAGACTGAACTCCCAAAAGAAAAGACAGCTATCGAATTGCATTGTGATTGCACCAAGACTGGGTTTGGTCCCCTTATGTGGGGTAGGTCTTTAGCCCCATCAGTTTCATTAATGCAAACGATGGGTTATTCAGTGGTAACTGTTGTTCATTGGGTATATGGCCTCTGCAGATCCACTCAGGGCAAATCTGCAGAGGCAGTCCTTCCAGAAGAAGAATTAGGTGACTAAATACCCACCATGAACACCACATATGCTGGGTGGACACCAAATTCAAGCCTTGCTGAAGTCATTAAGGTTTTCACCCATTTACACCAAGACTCTACATGTGCCTTACAATATCGATAAGAATGGCCATGCTGGGTCAGATCAATGGTTCATCTAGCCCAGTATCCTGTCTTTGACCAGTGCCAGATGCTTCAGCGGGAATGAACAGTACAGGGCAATTTCAAGTGATCTATCCCCTGTTGTCTAGTCCCCCCTTATGACAGTTGGAGGTTGAGAGACACCACACTGAATGACTAAGCTGTGTACAAAATACACAGCGGTTGCCCTAAACATTACAGCTTACAGCAGAATTACTGCTAGTGGTTTAGGCCATTACTATACAATACTGCATTGTAAGGGGCTTGACTCACCGCCTGCAGCGCCTCCTGCTGGTCATCCTCAGGGAATTAGCTCTCCCAGCATCCAGAGCACCCTCTGCAGGCCAGTGATCTGCCTTACCACTGGCCCCATGTCCCTCCCAGGACCCCAGTGCCCCGTTTACCTGGGGTGCTGCCCCTCTGGCAGTAACCCTTCACAGCCTCAGGGTCTCCCCCTCCCACCCCCTATCCCCACTTTGCCTCAGTGTTCGGCTACCACCAGTCCCCATCTAGCCCCCCCGCTCACTGGAGCAGACTGCAGTGTAAGCCACTCATCATAGGCAAAGGGGGTTCAGACCTGCTGCCTCTGCCTACGCATGGGCTGCCCCCTGCAACCCAATACCTAATGGGCCTTACCAGGCCTGCAGCCTGGGGCTTTCCTAGGCCGGAGCTCCCCGGCTCCTGGGCCTTTCCCCAGCCCTGCTCCAATCTAGGTTCCCTTCTTAGTACCTTGCAGGCAGGCCCTTCTCCCTCTACAGGCAGAGGGAGACTGACTGGGCCTCTGGCTCACAGCCTTTTATAGGGGCCAGCTGGGCCTGATTGGGGCATGGCCCCGGCTGAGCCTACTTTCCCCCAATCAGCCCAGGCTTCTTGCCCCAGCCACAGCCTTCTCCTGGGCTGTTTCTAGTCCCGCAGGGCAGGAGCGGGTAACCACTGCGCTACATGCATATACGTCTTACCGCACCAAATACTTCCACTTAAGGGCTTCTTAAAATGCCTCAAATGCCACAAGATTGGAAATAGCCAACTTTGGTTATTGACAAGACAGTGCATTATTATTATTTTTGCCATTAGCAAAAGCCAGATCCTCCCCCGTGAAAGTGACTGCTGCTTGCTGTGGGAAAGTGAAGTTTATGAGTCACCGTGAAAAGGGGAAGTAAAGTCAAAGGGTAAATTCTTGCTGCTGCTGTGCCAGGGGCTTTTTATTTGTAACGGAACCAGTATCTGTATCAGCCTATCTGAAGAGGGAGAGTTTGGCAGGAAATCAGCAGTTCATCAATGTTGATAAAAACCACTAATTACAAAAAAAGAATCTTTTATTCGTGGTCTTTCTTCTTTCTACTATGAAATTAATTATTCCATTATTTTAAAAGCAGCATATTTGAGTAAAAGGTAGGATTTCCAATAGCTCCAGTGCGAGTTTTAGACACAACTCTCAGTGAAAGGCAAGGGAGCCGGGCACCTCGCTACATTATATCCCTTTGCCAGCCCCAGGCTAAGGCCTAGGGCTGTACACTGACTGTACATTGGGTCAGAGCCTCCATGGAGTCAGAACTGATGAGGATCTGGGTCCGTAACATTTGAACAGGATTTTGTAAACAAGACACTTTCTAAATGCTATCGGTCAGAGGTGCCCGTGACCATCATCTTGGATCTACTGGTGTGGCAGGATGTTTTGCCTTCCAAGGTCTCACCTGAGCTATGATCTGCCAACCTTTAAAAGTAACAGAGTCAAATGAAAATGAACACGCTGCAGGTGTGTGGAGATCTTGCTGCATATCCAGCTGATTGTCTAAAACAGGGGTGGGCAAACTACAGCCCGTGGGCCACGTCTGGCCTGTCCGAACTTTTAATCCGGCCCTCGAGCTGCCGCTGGGGAGCGGGGTCAGAGGCTTTCCACGCAGCAGCATGTCCCCCCTCCGGCTCTGGCTCCTAGGTGTAGGGACAGCCAGGGGGCTCTGCATGCTGCCCCTGCCCCAAGCGCTGCCCCCCTGTCCCTGCAGCTCCCATTGGCCAGGAACTGCCAATGGGAGCTGCAGGAGCGGCGCCTGCGGATGGGGCAGCATGCAGAGCCGCCTGGCCAGTGCCACGCCTCCGCATAGGAGCTGGAGAGGTGCATGATGCTGCTTCCGGGAGCTACTTGAGGTAAGCGCCACCCAGAGCCTGCACCACCCTGTGCCCCAACCCCCTGCCCCAGCACTGATTCCCCTCCTGTCCTCTGAACCCCCCGATTCTAGCCCGGATCACCCTGCTGCACCCCAATCCCCTCATCCCCTGGCCCCACGCCAGAGCCTGCACCCCCCTGTCAGTGCCCTCAACCTCCCCTGCACCTCAGCCCCTTGACCCACCCCCGATCCCCCTCCTGCCGCTGAACCCCTCAGTCCCAGCCCAGAGCACCCCCCACATCCCAACCCCCAATTTCATGAGCATTCATGGCCCACCATACAACTTCTATACCCAGATGTGCCCTCAGGCCAAAAAGTCCCCTTTCCAGCATGAGCCCTCACCTTTAACACCCAGCCTTATGCTCACGCCAGTCCTGCTTTAAATCCTTCCTAGGATTATAATTCTAAGAGGCCCTGAACTAAACCCATCCCATAATTCCTGTCAAAGGGGCAACTCTTGCCAGTACTGCCCATTGATCTCTTTGTTACTGAGTAGAAATCAAGGATATTCCTTAGATTGCAAGTTCCTCAGAGTGAGGAATCTCAGCCGCATATTCTCCATCTGCCTGTAAAAGTTCCTCCCCTGGAGTCACTTCACAGCTATCCCTGCTTCTCCCACACTGCGGGGGTTTCTGTGGCAGGCCCTAGACAGGTTGCTAGGAGACATCAGCTGGTTTCCTCTACCTTTACCTGCTCTTTGCCTCTGCCGCTGCCCTGACCTAGAGGATGACGCTGCTCGAAAGTGAAACCAGAGGGAGGAGTTTTCACACCTTCTCCTGCCACCTGTGCTCTCTCCTCCTTTCGGGTTCTCCGCCTGTGCACCCCGACGCTCTCCCGAAGCACGGGCACCGACTGCTGCCTTTTCCACAGAGGCCGTAACTCCACCGAGCTGTATCAGGTTTTGCTCTGACGTACAAGAGGGGCAGCGGGGATAAGAAGAGTTAAACGCTGGGCATTGTCCCATGCACTGAACAGCAGGAACTCGCAAGGCCTTGGCATGTCCTCACCCTCATTCACAGGCAGAAATGACCCGGACCTGCCGACAGCGGGGGGGGGGGGAAGGCGGGCGCAGAGTAAGGGCAACGGCTTCAGCAGATGTTACTGAGCACGCTCAGTACAAACCAAGCAGCAAATCTGGGGGGCATGTG